TTTTAATTGAATTATATAAGAGAGGAGCCGAAAGATAACAAAGGGACTATCAAACACATTAGTCGAAAATAAACTGATAACGCCATTGGAAAAAAGGAAAAAGACCAAAAGACAAACAACAGTATACATAAAATAACATAGAAAATTAAAAACTGAACAACACGAACCCTATTATTCTCTCAAGCTCTGGAATTTCGTATTTGTTTTAAAGGGCTACTAATGTCATCAACTTTAAGTTGAAACAAAAACCATTTCACCATACACACCGTGATATGGCCTACTTCAAGAGTGACTTGAAACTTCATCTAGTTGGGAAACAAAAAACATATACTAAATGAGATAAGAATTTAATTTCAAATTGGTTACTCGGCCGTCATCTTTTTGTCGATTGTGACCGAAAGTGGTGCGTGTTAAAGTGTATCAAACTATTGATGGGAATAACAGAAGAATATATCGATTTATAAAGATATATATTGTCTTATCGAATTATACTAATTCGAAGATGTCATTGTATTCTCTGCTTAACTGTATTTTCTAAATATCTGTTGAACGATTCCTATCCTTGAAAGCAGCAACCGTCTATTTAGGAAACCGTGAGAAGGAACAAAACCCTTGATATACTGGTATCGTATAATGTATATTCAGAAATTATTGCGAGGTTTTCATTAAAGCGAATAATGCGACTAGATGAATATCCAAAAAATAAGAACTCGCATTCATAGATCTGAAACATATATTTGTATGCAGATTTTCCTAAAATCGCAATAACTAATCCAGCATTTTTTTCAAAATTGCAACACAAAATTCTTGCAATAATTTCTGATTGACAGTATTCTAAATGCAGTTTGAATTTTTAACATAGGAAATTAGGTCGATCATCTTTTTAAATTTTTTTATTACAATACAATTTAATAATTTTCGGTTTTTAAGCTCTTAAAAAAGAGGCGGACGATACCAAAGGGTCATTTAAAACTCATTAGCCGAAGAAGTAATATAAACGCCCTGGCAAAAAATTAAAAAGGACGAAAAGACTAAGAAGTCTACAAAACATTATATAGAAAAGTAAAGATTGAGCAACAAGAAACCCATCTAAAACCGGGGTGAACTCATGTGCTCCAGAAGAGTCAGGCATTCCTGCCTCAAATGTTGCACTCGTCGTGTAGCTCATGCAACTGCAAATCCGGTAATAAGTCTCATTCTGTGACTTCACAATCGAGGAAATAAGATGAAATTGCTTTTACTCCGCAATCATCTATCAAAGGAATCATAATAGGAAATGATAGCTCTGGAATATCGTATTAACTTAAACTTCGTTTTTGAATTGTTACCTTCCAACTGTTTTAAGAAACGCGAGTTATGCGTTCCAAATTATAAATCTGGTGATGATGTTTTGATAATATTATTGCATGACAGATCTGTTATCAAATGTCCAAAAGATAATTGACTGACGGGTATGGGGATCATGATGATTTCTATACTGATTAGCAAATAAATTTTGCAATTATATAGGGGCATTGTTGCAAAATTTTATCGAACAACAATATTTCTTTTCTTTTTTCATTTTATATAGATAACTTCTCTCAATTTGTTTCCCCTTATAATTTGTAAAAATAGCAGTAAGCTGATTTCAGCTCATAACTTTACTAGCATTCTATAACGTTCAGCGTCTATATGTACAGCAGATATCGTTAGTGAAGATTATAAATTAAAGAGGAACTAATATAGAAACATATGTACAATAATAAGTGTATGTTATTAGTTGTGGATATTTTCCAAACTGTTCTAAGACATGTAATAAAACAATTGCTCTCAATTAAACAGATTTCTCATAGCTTTTTAAATTAAAACTTTTTTTAAACTTATTCTCACGAAATCAAAACTACGAATTGCATGTTTACCTCTCGAGGTCGAGGTTTATTTCATTTGGATGTAAACCCATTTAGTCTTTCATTTCATTTTGTTAAACAAATGTGTGTTAATTAAATTTCCGTTTTTGGTCTGTTGGATAGAAGTGTGATTGGAAGATTTGATAAAATAATGAAAAAAATGTAGATTATGACAAGTTTCAAGCAAAAAAATAAAAGAAAGGAAAACAGAAAGAGTGAAAAACATTACTGAAAATTAGGCCTGGATAAAATCACATGTTCTATGCAAATATGTAGTGGATATCAAATTACGAAGAAGAAAACTCAAAAAATGACTTGAGACTAAGTCAATGAAAATCTTATGAACTCAAAACTACTTCGGTCGTGATTTTTAATTGTTTAATTAAGTAAGCGCTCTTGTGAAGCAAAAACGTAACGCTTTGGTATGAGAATTACACAAAAATATCGTAAGGGTGGGCAAGTTCATTAAAACGTCTGTAGACTTGCAACTTCTAAAATATTTTTCTCAAAGCAGTTATATATATACGTCGGAAGGAGAATTCCTCAAAGTATATAATCATAATCAATACAACCACCTAAAGCAAATACACCATATTGAACAAAGAGAGAAAAAAAAATCATATTTATAACCAAAACCAGCAGTTTCACGTGTTTCAAGATAACGATTTATAGACTGAAAGAAAACTCAAAACTTGGTCCAACTCTCGGAATGTTAATCGTTTTCTAATAAGGATGCCTCGATTGAATCACTACTAAATGTATTAACTTCGGTAATGCATATTTAGTAGAGTAATTGGACGAAGAATGTTCTACATTATGTTTACTAGTAATTTGCTAACATATACCTAAACATATTTTACACTTGATATCAGCACATGAGACAAATAGTGCATCTCTAAGTTCCCATTTGTTACACATATATTCTAAAATAACTGATGGAAGACAAAACAATATAAACAAAAAGGAATATCTGTCACAGATATGTTCCAATTGTCCTGCCACGAGGTCGTCGTATTTCAAAATTTTATTATCTCACGTTGGTTGTAAGTAATGCGATTCCAAATGCTTTCACTTCAATTTTTATCTTTTAAATCCATGAACTACATGTTATCTGAAATATGTTTACGAGGTTACGATCATGAATTCACTTAAAAGCGATTTTATATAGAACTTTATTTGTCAACACGACCGGTTTCATTATTGGAGCAGAAACTGCTTAAGATTCTATTGCATCTTTAACTCATGAACTCCTAAAATCATACTGCAACAGGGCATACATAGGCCTTAATTAAAGAATACAGTTGTAGGCAAAACTCCTCAAATTCCTCAAAGTTAATCTTAGATAGACCGAGGACTACGATCTCCAAATACATCGACTCGTGTTCGCATCACCCCATTGTAAAATTGTTCAGGGGAGTGAAAATAAAAAAAAATTCTAGATCATCTAAAACATTTAAACTAAAATTGGTACCAATTCAGAACCAGCCACTCAAGGTAGACGAGATGGTATCAACAGAACTTCCTGCGGTAACGTAGGAAAGTAGATATCTGATATGATTCGACGTATAAAAAAGGGAAAGATCGCATTCCTTTAATATCAGATCCCGCCAAACATTTTTGACTGTGACAAATTAGTTTATTACAATAAAATGAACAAAACAACTTAATGAAATATTATGATTGATAACAAAGAAAAATAAAGTTTATCCCGGTACCGGTGGACAGAACTAATAGTTCGATGATTATTTATTTTTTTTAAATTTAAATTCGGAAATAACGAAACGTAAATTCACAATGCAATTTCCCTCTCCTTTTACATGGATATCCTAGTAAAATGTACATGTATCTCACTAAAATTAGCAGCAACAAAATCCTTATGTGTATGATACCAGCAAGACTATTCAACGGCTTATTTTTTTCTTCACTATTATGTCATTAAAATGTCATATTGATTCTGGTTTTCCTTGTCGGCCTAACAAAATTAATAAAACAGCAGCAGAAAATGGAAATTGTTGGTACATTACCAGGTGAGGTGGGAGGGTTTTTTGAAACTTAAAAATAATCTACAATGCAAGAGTAAAGTGTCATGTATATTATTTGGAAAAACAAAATAAAACGGATCCGAATGATGCAAGTGAAATTAACGGGAAAAAAAATATATCAAATATCTTTCATTGATATTGGTATATCTTATAAATGAGATAAACCTTGTTCAGTGGTTGTCGTTTATTGGTGTGGTTCATAAGTGTTTCTCGTTTCTCGTTTTTTATATATATAAGACCGTAGTTTTTCCTGTTTGAATTGTTTTACACTAGTCATTTTGGGGCCCTTTATAGCTTGCTGTTCTGTGTGAGCCAAGGCTCCGTGTTAAAGGCCGTACTTTGACCTATAATTGTTTACTTTTTACACATTTTGACTTGGATGGATAGTTGTCTCATTGGCACTCATACCACATCTCCTTATTTATACTTATTAAAAGACAAATGTTTATACTGATATTTTAGTTTATTCGCAAGTTTGAATATGAGAAAGTGTGATTTATTTGTATATGATCATAAGGAGTGCTGATCGGTTTTATTTTTGTATCTTTTGATTACAATTATCCTTGCAATTCTTAAAGAAGCATCATTCATATGATCGAGATAAGGACATTTTATATAGCATTGTCAAAAACAATAGCATGGAAACCCAAACTGGAATAAAATAATAGGAACTTATTTTCAAAAAAATATATTCATAGATTTATATGTCTTTTTTTTCCTGTTCTGCCTCCTTAATCCAAAGATCTTGAAATAATCCAGAGGGCTTAAGCCCATTGGTAGCTATAGATATCAATCCAAGGATAATAACAGAACAGATATGGTAAAGGCATATATTAATCTATTGACCAAATGCTTGTATGTATCAATATGATTTATTACACGTAAAATTACCCTTTAAATGTCTGACAGAATAAACCAACTGGAAAACTTATTTCGAACTAATTCAATTAATTTGTCAATGAGTTTCTTTCAATGTCAAATCTTACATTATTTATAAAAGATAATATGACTAAATATGTGATAAGTAAAGTTAAACATCTTCAAGATATCATCAAAAATATAATAAACGTACTCATGTTCTTTGATTGACTATTTCATATTGCTGTTCACTCATCGCTTGAGTATTGATAGCGGTGTAGTTAGAAACATCTCTCGCTCCACTAAGGTCGACATAATTAACACTTGACGTAATCGGAATTTTCCTTTTCTGTATATGCAATTGTCTGAAAATAACATAATACAGATTAAATCAATAATATCTTGCCCCTATGGTGAATGAATGATGTATTTTATATGATATTATCTATCCTTGTTGTTGTGTAATTGTGTTTTTGTTTGTATCATTTCGTTGTATATAAAGTGTTAAACGTTCTCCACTACTTTTATTATTGTATATTCTATAATGTATAAAAATAAGAAGATTTGGTATGATTGCCAATGAGACAACTCTCCACAAGTGACCAAATGACACAGAAATTAACAACTATAGGTCACCGTTCGGCCTTCAACAATGAGTAAAACCCATAATGCACAGTCAGCTATGAAAGGTCCTGAAATGACAAATGAAAAAACAATTCAAACGAGAAAAATAACGGCCTGATTTATGTACAAAACAATTAACGAAAAACAAATATGATAATCCACATATGTTTAAAAGACTGTCCCAAGTCAAGAATATCGCTGTGATCCTTTGACATTTTGTTTTTGTCACGTGGAAAATTTGTTGTTGATGGCACATCTTTGATAGTCATTATTAAATTCAGTCGGGTATCAAACTTGGGCCTATTCAATGTTTTCATGTTGTGTAAACATTTTCTCTTCTTGAATAACATATATATTCACCAGATGTCTTTTTATTTATTTTATACTTTAAATATCATCAGAGGGAGAAATTCACTATATTTTCTTAAAACCTTAAAAGAATATAATAGAAATGTAAAAAGTTGCCAAATAGAGCTGACACATAGTTCGAAAAAATTAAACAGAGAATAACAGAAAAAAAAACATTGTATAAACAATACTACATAGAAACCCATGCCCCAACCAACCCCCGCACCACACAATCTAGATTTAGTTGTTTTCCATTCGTTTGATGTGTTTGAGCTTTTGATTTTGCCATTTGATAAGGGACTTTCCGATTTGAATTTTCCTTGGAGTTCGGTATTTTGTTATTTTACTTTTTTCTATGTAAAAATGCGTTACATGTAAACCTCAATACATCGTTAAATACCTGTTGAAAAATACAGTTGTACCAGCAAAGAAGACAGCAACGGTACAACCGATAATAGCAATTACTAATGCCACCAAAAATGAAGTAGACGTATCTGAAAAGAATGATTTTAATATAAAAGGCGAGTGTCAAGTTGTAACAATTGAATATCTCCTTATAAATTTAAGGAACTATATAAAATTTAAGTAGATATCTTATTTGTATAAAACAAATTACGATTTCTGATTAATAGGTAAAATAACCTGGTTCAACTCTTACAATGTTTTAAAAAATAGGGTAAAGGATATCAAAGGGGCAATCAGAAATGTAAGTCAACGAGAAACAGACAAAAACATGGGTTCCATTTTCACGTATGTGACCTACCGAATTAGACTATTTACCGGATTTGTACTAACATGAGCAACACGACGGGTGCAACATGTGGAGTAGGATCTGCTTACCCTTCCGGAGCACATGAGATTACCTCCAGTTTTAGATGAGTTTCGTGTTACTAAGTCTTTAATTTTCTACGTTGTGTTTTGTGTACTATTGTTTGTCTGTTTGTCTTTTTTTTTTTAGCAATGGCGTTGTCAGTTTATTTTTCATTTAGGAGTTTGAATGACCCTCTGGTATCTTTCTCCCCTCTTTATTAAGGCGAAATATACGTTATAGCACGCCTCTAGCGGAATTCAGGATAAAAAGTGCGTCGTTAATTACGCGAGTTAATCTCTCTTACTAAAAGAAAGAAACAAGCCACAACCGAGAAACGACTTCGTCCAAACATAATGCCTATGCTGTTTGGAAAATACAAATAAATGTTCAGAATGAATCTGATATAAAATCTGAGTATCTTTATTTCAATCAAAATCACCCTGTTACCACTGTGATCGTTTTAAACACGTCGGAGAGGAAAAAAAATTAGACTTGTGTTTATATCAACAGAAAATAAAAACGCTTCACAACAAAATATATAAACAAATAAACAAATAAATCTGTGGCAATTCTGCGCTTCTAGTTTTTTTAATCAAACCAGAGATGAACTCACAATATATTTTGTGAAAAATCGTTGATTTATATGAAATACATACTCTAGCTTAAAATTGTAGGTTAAGAAAAAAGTTATATTACAAAAATTCCGAACTCGGAAAGTTCCTTATCAAATGCAAAATTAGAAGCTCAAACACATCAAACGAATGAAAAACAACTGTCATATTCCTGACTTGGTACAGGCATTTCCTAATGTAGAAAATGTATAACGTTGTGAATATGTGTGTTAATATTGAACGACGTTGGTATATTCGTTTTTCATATCAACACAAATAAGGCATATGAATACAATTGAAAATTTCCGCATATGTTTCATATTTATATAAAAAGAAGATAGATACACAGGGAATAATCGAACACTAGTGCAACATTTACCAGTCGAAGAACAAACACAGCGAAAAAGAAACTTTATAATCAGTCCACAGCACATTACACAGAAACTTAGAAGTAAGCACGAACACGAACCCCACTAATATATCAAATATTTCAATGTTTTGATGTGTGAAATAGATAAATATTGTGATATAATTCAAATTATGTCCCAGTTAATTGCATTTTTAATCTTTTTTGATCATTTTGACAATGACCGTTCCAAAGTTATGTCCCTAAATTATCTAAAAAATTGGGAATTTTCCAGTGAACAGATGTTTTCAAAATATTACTTCACAAATCTTTCCAGAATTAAAAACATGAAATTAAAGTACAGATCAAGGTCGATTTTGACAGCTTTGACATTTTCTTGCGTAGAATATTCAAAGACAACCGCTACGACGACATACAGTGTAAACAATTGCAATTGGTTATTCATTTATCTCGAGTACTACTTTATTTCTACAGAAAGACGACATAACATACGGCTTTCAGAATGACTGACTAAAGAATCTTCAAATTAACTGCAATACATGAAAACAAATATCAGTAGCCATTGCTATGCATATTAAAATATCGAAACATTAGATCACCAAATTGCACTCTTATTTGGGTATAATGAAAAAAATATTATTTCATGCTACCAGAAGAAAAGATTGGAAAAATCAAACTTTATCTTTTGCACTTCAGTTGTAATCATTGCGTAACGCTACATAGTCCATTGGCAAAGTTAATTACTCAATGAATATCTTTATTGTATTTTCAACAGAAAATGTTACATGCAATATAATGGTTTTTTTTTTTTATGGAGAAGGTGAATATAAACAGTATAAATGTATGTCTTGTATGCCTTGAAACCTATATAATATACCATGTACGTACTGGTCAATGATGGTGAAAGAAAAATATTGTCCACATTCAAATTTATTCAAAATTACTTTTCTTTTGTAAAACTTCATTCATTTATTATGTATACCTTTCATAATTTCCTTCTTTCTCTCACTAGTTGACTGAGTGTTGGAATTTGTCACGTGGTTATCGCCGATCGGTTTTGTTTCTGTTACTGAAAAAGTGTCCTCTGTAGTACTTCCCTAGTTTGTTTGCGTTGTTGATTCTGGAGGGTGACACTTTATTTTTAATTCTGTATTTTTCATGCAATCAAGATTATTCAGTAGTGATTACTGTCCTTTTCAATTCAATAAAAACTCGCTGCTTGGTGTTCCTACGATTCCTTCAATTATTTATCTATTATATATACGATATGGATGGTCAACTTTGAAACATTTGCGGTGCTTTTGTCTCTCACATGTACATTCATATCGAAGTAAAAAACATCCTATTTTAACTTTATCTAAAGTCTTAATTTAAAGCACATTCTTCACGCTTCTATTGGTTATGATAAATAATCTTTCCTTATATATCTTATTTATCAAATATATATCAGGGCAGCAACAGTTCAATGAAAACAAAGTTCAGAATACAGAAATTTTATTTGTTTATCAAATTCCCATTATTTCCTCCCCGAGGGTATCACCAGCCCAGTAGTCAGCACTTCTGTATTGGTGGGAATTATCACAATTATACATAAACTGCTTACAAAACTTAAAGAGTACCTTAACTGTAGTTTGCAAAAATTTCGGAATTTTAGGTCCTCAATGCTTAGGGTACACACGTTTGATTCTGCTATTTATGATGGTTTTATTTGAAGAGGGATTTTATATTCGTACATCCAACAAAAGATATATATTCAAATTCCTGCCCACCCACCCCCAGCCAATTGTTGAAACCTAGAAAACTACTCTTATGGTAATTCATGACACACAATATGTCTTTTGAACTTAATATATTGCTATGATCTCATTTCTCCCTTCTTTTTTTTCCGTTTTTCCCCAAAATTTTTTTGTCTAGTTTTGAAGACTTTGCTGTTAATTACAATTTATATTTAAATGATGAAGGTTTTACGGTCAACTATCACTTTTAACTACAACATTACTTGATATGTAGGGGAAAAAACTCTTATATTGAGTCACCGTATGGAACTGGTTGACTTTGTTCTTGCTATCATGAGGATGTATCTAGCAATTTTGGAATAGACTTTTTTCAGTTGTTAACAGTTGCAACGGAGTGACTTAAAAACAAACGGTGCTTGGTAAGATAACTCTTTTAAAGAAAAAGTGTTCGGTAAAGCGGTCTCTCTTTAAAACGTGTATAAATTGTTTTAGATCATACACACGATAGATATACCGCATCTTGCGCAATAAACAAACAGCAGACACAATAACTTTAGCAATACATTGTTGTCGTACACTTAAGTTGACATATGAAAATTAAAAAAAAACATAAAAAAGGTATGTGCTTTGAAGTTCCGAGGGATATTTCAAGCGATTCTGTTAGACTGAAGTATCAATGATGAAAGTTGATTATGAAATATCTGTAACAAAATAAGAGCAACAGTGGCATTATTTTCTTTTACTGTTCCCGATGGATATATCCAGGAAAGGAAAGTGCGTAATACGCATACAGGAGTGATTTCGGTAAGGGCCATATTTGGTCCCGACAATAAAGGTCAACGTTTCAAGTTAAAAATGTTTTAAGTTGATGAAAAGTCATGTGAGAAATTTAAATAGAACGTTCTTTTGTCCAAGTTTTATTTTAAAGCGTTGATTCGTATCTCCCAAATAGGCCAACAATAGAGATTTTTGCTAAATTTAACAAAACCGTCCGGATTTCAATCAGATTTGGGCATGGGAAACATAGAGCGCATATGTCGACTAAATATTCAAGTCAGATATGTAAAATGCTAAAATAAACATTATGTGAAAAGATTTGTTTTTGCCGACGCATGCGCTCTACAGTTGGGTGCAGACCAAGCATTACATGTAAACGGGCGGAAAAAGTTAACGCGGCGTTTACTCGCGTGCACTTCAAGTAAACGCCGCGTTAACTGTGCGTTAACTCGGAAATTTCAGTAGATATAAAAAGTAAACGGGCGTTTACTTTCGCGTTTACCTTCGCGTTAACGCAAAATCGACGCGTCTTCTAATTTTGTGTAAGGATGGATTGTATAAAACAAATGATAGCAATATTGAACCACAATGACTACAAAATTTTGTTCGCATCAATTGAGAGTGCCAAAATGTCCTGTTTTTTTCAAAATATTGAATCGTAAACAAATATCAGTAGATTTCATACCTCAGACTGACTCGTATAACAAAATTATTTTTCCACATCAACCAAAAAAGATCTAATTTGCTCTTGTTTTATGTAAATCTTATAGTCGCATACTAAATCAGTAATATTTTTATATCAGTATGGATTGTATAATACAAATGACAGCAATATTGGAAAACAATAACTAAAAAATTTGGTTCACATCAATTAATAATGCCAGCATGTCCTCTTTTTATTCAAAATATCTAATTGTAAACAAATATCAGTAGTTTTTATACCTCAGACTGACTCTTATAACAAAGTTATTTGTCTGCATCAACCAAAACTGACCATATTGCACTTTATCAAGTCAATCTATATAGCTGCACAGTAATTCAGTTATATTTTTAGGTCAGGTGGGACTGTATAATACGAATTACAGAAATATTGGACCACAATGACTAAAAATTTGGTTCGCATTAATTTATAGTGCCAGCATGTCCTCTTTTTATTCAAAATATCTAATCGTGAACAAATATCAGTAGTTTTTATACCTCAGACTGACTCGTATAACAAAATTATTTGTCTGCAACAACCAAAACTGACCTAATTTGCTCTTTTTTATGTAAATCTTATAATCGCATAGTAAATCAGTTATATATTTATGTAAGGATGGATTGTTTAAAACAAATGATAGCAATATTGGACCACAATGATTCAAAATTTTGTTGGCATCAATTGAGAAAGCCAAAATGTCCTGTATTTATTCAAAATATTGAATCGTGAACAAATATCAGTAGTTTTCATACCTCAGACTGACTCGTATAACAAAATTACTTGTCCGCATCAACCAAAACTGACCTAATTTGCTCTTTTTTATGTAAATCTTATAGTTGCATAGTAAATCAGTTATATTTTTATGTAAGGATGGATTGTATAAAACAAACGATAGCAATATTGGACCACAATGACTACAAAATTTTGTTCGCATCAATTGAGAGTGCCGAAATGTCCTGTTTTTATTCAAAATACTGAATCGTAAACAAATATCAGTAGTTTTTTTTACCTCAGACTGACTTGTATAACACAGTTTTTTAAAGAGGGACTGTATAATACAAATGACAGCAATATTGGAAAACAATGACTAAAAAATTTGGTTCGCATCAAATTATAGTGCCAGCATGTCCTATTTTTATTCAAAAAATTGAATTGTAAACAAATATCAGTAGTTTTCATACCTCAGACTGACTCGTATTACAAACTTATTTGTCTGCATCAACCAAAACTGACCATATTTGCACCTTATTATGTAAATCTTATAGTCGCATACTAAATCACTAATATTTTTATATCAGGATGGATTGTATAATACAAAAGACAGCAATATTGGAAAACAATGACTAAAAAATTTGGTTTGCGTCAATTTATAGTGCCAGCATGTCCTGTTTTTATTCAAAATATTGAATCGTAAGGAAATATCAGTAGTTTTCATACTTTAGACTGACTCGTATAAGAAAATAATTGGTCCGCATCAACCAAAACTGACTATATTTGCACTATATCATGCTAATCTATATAGCTGCATAGTAAACTAGTTATATTTTTAGGTCAGGAGGAACTGTATAAAACAAATGACAGTAATATTAGAAAACAATGACTACACAATTTTGTTCGCATCATGTTATAGTGCCAGCATGTCCTCTTTTTATTCAAAATATTGAATCGTAAACAAATTTTAGTGTTTTCATACCTTAGACTGACTCATACAACAAAATTATTTGTCCGCATCAACCAAAACTGACCATATTTGCACGTTATTATGGAAATCTTGATAGTTGCATAATGAACTGTCACTTAAGTCAGTAGTTCAGGATGGTTTGTATTGAAATCAAAACTATAATATTTAACGGCATCATCCAAAACTGACATGACTGATTAAAGTAATTTATAATGAAAAGTACGAGTTGACATGTATCCAAAGTATGAGAAGTTCTCTTCTTGGAAAAGTGTACTGTTAATATACTATGGCGGTTGATTGATTTCGTTTGTAGCCTAACGTCCAGGGGCAAATATTTTTTTTTCATGTTCAGAACGAGTATATTTTTCTGACGTCCCAGATATCATTTATAATCGTTATGTATAAGTCTGTCTAAAATGGCGAGATGGTACAAATGTACATACTTATACAACACCTGATCAATATCCCTATATATACACCGCCCTATATACACTGTACAATTTTCGATCGAACATTTGGCAAAACAGAATCTTAAATCATGCAAATCCAAGGCAAACAAGGTGAATTACGATTAAAAATCCATGTATTAAATGCATAGAGTTATATTTAGGAAGAGACATTTACACAATCAGTTAGCACGAAAAGTAAACGCGCGTTTACTTTCAAGTGCACGTAGAAATACACTTGTGAAATCTGTAGTAAACGCCCGTTTACTTTTAAGTGCACGTAAAAATAAACTTGTGAAATCTGAAGTAAACGCCCGTTTACTACTGACTAAACGGACACATAGTAAACGCCCGTTTACTCGGGTAGACATTAGAAATTTCCATTTTGACCACGTTAACGTAATTATAGTAAACGCGCGTTTACTAGTAAACGCGAAAATTGAAGTTAACTAACGAAATATGTGCACGCGGCGTTAACTTGCGTTTACTTTATGTAATGCTTGGTCTGCACCCAACTGTATGTTCCCTGTCCATTAAATCACTGGAAATTAAACTGTTTTCACGGAATGTTATTAAAAAATTAAAATGAGTATTGTTATGACGTCATGAATAAAAGGCAAATTACGTACATTTTCAACAAAAAGAAATTTTTCTTATCTAGTCGTTGTATTAGCTATGATTCATTTTGATATTGGTCAATAAATCCTAATATGGAATTGTAGCTAAAATTAGGGAACCATTTTAGGGCCTTATTGAACCTACCCTTTTTATTATAAAGTGTTATTTAATTTTTGTCTGCGTCGATACAGAAACTGATGTACTATAGGTCCTCAAGGGTATCATCAGCACAGTAGTCAGTGCTACAGGTACTGACATGATTTATAACAAACCTTTCTTACATTGTCCGTTTATAAATTGAGAAATTATTAGAAAATATGGTTCCAACTCCCTCAAGCAAAGTTGATCTTAGATGGTTTTGGCTGTTATTTATAGATCCCTTTTGGTCATATAGCTCTTCAAGTGTATCGGTTTGTTTTTATTTTCAATTATAAAATTTACGACAACACTTGCTTATAACGCAATCCCAATTATTGACCTAGGAATAGAAGCACAGTCATCCCTGTAAATCTTCCGTCCGACAATAAAAACCCTTCCTTCTGTGGAGCATCAGTTCGGCTATGTAGGATAAAAAAAAATAGTACACAGCTACATACGGAAAAAATAGGGACATAATTCGACGCTTCAAATAGAGTGAGTGCCACTCCTTCTGTGTGGTAAAGAACCATTCGAACTAATCTCTAAACAGTGGCATGTGGCAGAATGAAATTTCTGGACCTTTCACATATACTCTCGTGTACCTTACATAACCTACTTCATGTCTTTATTGTTAATTCATTCTCCTCCTGAATATTTATGAAATAGTTGTCATTGGACGTTGAGTAAGGAATGATCAAGAATGTTCGTGATAAAAAAAGAGTATTTGAATACCCCATAGTGTGTCCACGACTTAAAATAATTTTTGGTTAAATTCAGGCAAAATTTGGTAAAATAAAAGCAATAAAAGTTCTGGTTATGAAAACATTTTCTAAGGTTTGACAACAATGAACATAAATAAAATGATAGCGCAAACTCTAGATGTCTTTGTGTTGTAGGAAATTTTCTGTTATTCATATTGCACTTATTGAGTACTACTATAGCACTTACTTTGATTGTCAAAACATTGCTTCTGTGAGTAAATTACATCATCTTTATAAGACAATATTGTCGTCTGGTTGTAAACAAAACAATAACTTGACTCATACTGAACAGCAACACAAGCTTCAGTTTGAATGCAGTATCTTTCACATTCATCAAACGATTTTATAGGAAATACTTTCATCCAATCAACATCTTCACCTGATAATCCTTCTTGACGTGCTTTCATTTCGCAAGTATATATCGTTTGATCTGCAACAATACATTTTGTTGTCACAAGACAATGTTCGTGCATTTGTCTTTTAATATTGCAATCTTATGGAAACTATAAAAAAAAACGTCCATATTCTTTTCTTTCGAATATATTCAATACATAACACTCATTAAAAGATACCAGGCTAAATGTTTAGCTTAAGTTTTTTTAAAAGAGCAGACACCTTAGGTACGAAGGTTCCTATACTCTTTTTTAGGTGTAGGGATTAGTATATGTGGCAATTAAGAATTAATTTGACTTAAGGATCTACGATTACGTTCAGAGAAATATGACAGCCTTTTACAAATGTAAGCTAAGTAATACAGGAGAAAAGATTAACATGAAATATTTTGTCTAAATTCGAATGGCTTATACTGAGGCATCTATACTCATATAACATGATGCTTATCCATCTAGGAAAGTATAATAGTCTTCCTTAAAAAGTTCATAGACTGACTTTAATTTTCAGTTCATTGATATGTATCAAAAAAGAGGGGCGAAAGATACCAGAGGGACAGTCCAACTTATAGTTCGAAAACAAACTGACAACGTCATGGCTAAAAACTAAAAAGACAAACAGACAAATAATAGTACACAAGACACAACATAGAAAACTAAAGACTAAGCAACCGGAACCCCACCAAAAAATGGGGGTGATCTCAGGTGCTCCGGAAGTGTAAGCAGATACTGCTCCACATGTGGCACCTGTCGTGTTGCTCATGTTATTACAAATCCGGTAAATAGTCTAATTCGGTAGGATACATTCGTGGTGAAAAAGGAAGTAGATTGTAATTACGACATAAAGAACATATCCGATATCATCTGTGAAACGGTTATTCCATTACGGTCAACCAACTCGTGATGGCGTCCGTAAAATTAACGAAGGGATGATTTCAACTTCACCATTTGGAACTCTTGGTTTAATAGCTTCCTTGTGAGCAGCAACCCTCTTTCAATGAAATCATGATAGGAAATACAAGCCCGGGAATATCGTATCAATTGGGAGATATATACTCCGTATGCAGGCGCTGCTGGAATGTTGCTACATAGAAATGGAAAGTTCACCATTGGGAAGCTGAAATCATCTCTTTTGTCGTAAAGTTTTGTTTGCAACCGACCCTCATTGTCAATTTCTAGATGTAAGTCAAGATATGAGGCAAACTTAACTGTATCTGTTGTATCCTTTATCTCTAGTTCGATGGGATAGATGCGTTCAACATAGTCACCAAATTTTGAATTATTTAGTGAGAGAACATCATCTATGTAGCGGAAAGTAAAGTTAAAGGATATTGCTAACTTCTTATCTTTCTTCCTAAGAAGTTCCTGTATGAAGTCAGCCTCATAATAATAAAGAAACAAGTCGGCAAGAAGAGGGGCACAATTGGTTCCCATTGGAATGCCGACAGTCTGTTGAAAAACACGTCCTCCAAACGTAACAAATATGTTGTCAATCAAGAAATCAAGCATCTTGATAATGCCAGTTTCAGAGAATTTTTTGTTTGAATCAGAGTGATTCTTTACACAGTAGGATTTATTCCTCCCCAAGACAAGATACTTGTATCTACGTTCGCCATTCAAGTGTTACATACAATTACCTATCTTCGATACTAACGGCCTCATAATCATGATAAGCATTGAATCTTGGCTGAAGATGGCATTATGGGCAACTCAGCCGTTTCACTTAAGATGAAGGACGATTACCCTACAACATTTTTATTCAATATTTTATGAGAAAATGACCTATATCAACATTTGTCTGCGCTTAACCATCATATCGTTAGGACTTACAACCGTATAAATGTATCTAAACATGATTTTAAGAGAAAACAGTCGTTTCTTGTGAAAACTATGTAACGCTGACTTATAGTTTAGAATTCATTGATTAATTAGCAGTTTTCATTGCGTCATTTCTCATTTAGCTTTTAGTTTACCTTTCGATACGTTGAACTCTCAGGTTCAATTTCACTGCCAGAATCATACAAGAAATAGAATATGCTTATATGTGGTTGATCACGAAAGTAAAGGAAAAGTCAAAATTTGGAGCCATACATACCTGTGTTTACTGTTCAACCTAATTTCTAACCAGACGTGTAATATATGTAAACATGCAAGTAAAGTAAAAACAATGACGTCACTTCCAAAAAAAGACAATTTAAAAACCACTTCTTTATATCATGTTAAAGAGAGATAATCAATCTTCTTTTTATTCCGTTCACCGTAGGCTAATATTTTAAATATGTTTTCAATCTTTTCAAAATTTACAGTATTAACCTTTAGAAGGATACTGAAGGTTTGACAGTTTTATGTGGTATTTCTAAGCAAAAGAGAGGCAACAGTTAACAAAGGAATATTTGAATTCATAATTCGAAAACAAACCTGCGTATGCCATGGCAAGACTAAAAAAAATCGAAAGACACACAACAGTATACGAAACACAACATAGAAAACCACGCATGAGTAACATGAAACCCACAAAAAAAAGGTGGTGATATCGGGTTACCGATTATAAATGATCAAACATATTGTTAGTTTTACATTTCGCTGTTTGAGTATTATATTTTTTTCTAAAAGCTGACAATTTGAATAAAAAGTTGTAAGCGAAATATCTGAAACAAATGAAGTTAAGTTGGTTTGAATCCAATTTATGGACTTGCACATTAATTGCCAAAGGATCCTGTGTTCGTAGGAAGAACACTATGACACAACAAAAAATATTTTGTTTATGTTTTTTTTGCTTGTTTTAGAAATAGATCATGGATTACAAAATTCTGTAATTTTTCCTAGTTCAACGCTATAACAATTTGATTCTCTTAACGTTCGGCATTATATTGGAATAGAAAGAACAGTGTAATTCTGAAGTAAAAAATAGTAGAACAGAAAATTATCGTATAATAGTATAGGCAGATAGATAATTGCACCTGAATGTCAAATATATAGTTATTTCTTTTTATCAAAAGAGGACATAGAACATTATTATAAGAGTCATACGACGGAAAACTCTTTCTTTCGGTGATTTGTCGGACGCACAGTATAAATCTAAAGAAAATTACAAAATCATTTTAAACAAAAACAAAACGTTACTAAATAAAACAAAACTCGAATTATAACGAAACTAGAATACGATTGTTATAATCTTTAAAGCGTCCATGTTCACACATCATTAAGAGTTTGAATCCACTGTCCGGTGTTGATATATTTTGTTTAAAGCAAATCATTGGCAGTAAAAACGCATCACAAATGGTAGGCTTATATTTTTGAAAAAAAAAACGCGGGTTTTGTCTTTCTAAGACTCATCAGTGGCGCTCGAAATAAACAATTGAAGGCCCATTAAAATACAAAGTTGTAGAGTTTAAATAATACAATAAATTAAGGCGACAGTGGTTTCACTGATAAGTCTCATGTAGACAATACGTGTGTCTCGATTAAAGATAATAAACCTGTTATCTTTGATGAGTTTTAACTTATTTTCAAAGTCGTACTATCAATTTGTGTATAAAGTGTTGAGTGTATTGGATATATTCTATAGTGTTTTAGTTTACTGTAAATAAATGTTTATGCAATGTTGAATTGTTCAAATAACAAAACGCGCGTCTGGCGTACCAAATCAAAAGATTATTTTATCTTAAAATCATTTTTAGACAAAGTTATGTGGTTGAAGGATATAACGATATGATACAAGAATTTAATGTATGTCAGTTTATCATAAAATGTTAATCTAATTTGATTAAAATGTAGTAAAATGTTGTAAGGTAAGTGCCTTACCTTTTATGTGATATGGCTACGTTGCCAGAAATGCCATCTTCAACCAAGTTTTAATTATTATGAGGTCTTTAGTTTCTAATATAGGCAATCGGAATTAAAACCAAATACATATATATCAATGACATGTAACATGAAAGTAAGTTTACCAACTTTTTAGGGAAGACTACTATTCTTTCCAAGATGCACCAGCATTACGTTATATGACTATAGATGCCTCAGTATAAGACATTCACATTTGGACAAACAAATTCATGACAATCTTTGTACCGTACAGTTAACTCTTGTATGTGTTACCTTTGGTGAGAGGCTTTTATATTACAGGCCCAGAGGCTTTCACATTTAGGCCTGTGAAACATAGACAAACTAAATATTCAAGTCAGATAAGTAATTTGTTATGACAAACGAAATTTTAAAAGATCTTTCTGTTTGGTGCTTATGATATATTTTTCTGGTCCTAAAAACCAATGGAATGTGAAATGTTTTCATTGCATTTCATGCAAAATTGAAATTTGTGACGTCAACAATACATAATTTTTCAACAAAGGGACATTTTTCTATCTAGCCGCTGTTTTATCTATGACTCATTGTGTCAATGGCCAATGCATCCTAATTTGTAAGGGGCTATATAACGGCTTTATCAAAGATACTTCTGTTGATTACATTGACTCTGAAAACCCTATAGAGGTTCAAAAATCAAAATTTTCAAAAATTACAAGCTTGAAAAAATTGTCAGTTTTGTTTGTTCTGCCGCCATAATGTTCATATTCTTTTGTATATTGTAATTTTCATGAGCGGAACATCTATCAAACAAAATCAATTGCATTTAATTGGATGCATCTTTTTGTTTATTAATAACCTATTTATTTTATATGAGGTACCAGATTGATTTTTTCATAATAGCTTACTTCTTGATATTTGCATACAGTATCCCCTGGTGAAGTCACCATCTATAATCCTTGATTTAAGTTTCAGTTCACTTCCTCTTAGAGCAATTGACCTCACATCAGTCCCACTGGTACATTCAATCGACTGAAGAGATCGAGTTGTATGCGATGTATCTATATATTCAACATCCACTGCAAGTCCACAGTTCTGTTGTTCTGGGGCCGCATTGCTTTGTTTTTCGTATTTAGACATGTATATAGTGTAATTAGTTACAGTATTTTGTAAAGTAATATGACATATGCAGTTGTTTTGTTGTTTTGTTATTCGTAATGATACGCTGTCAACCGATTTACTTCCATGAAAGTTACTTTCTTCTACAGAATCGTCTGTACACATATCTGCCACTAACAGAAAGTACATTTATAAAAACATCCTATTGTTTCCTAGCATTTTCATATGATACATATAAAGTGATGTAAGGAGTACGTACGTTTTGAATAAAGAATTCTACTTCACAACTCCAAAGGTGCAAATCATTCATCTGTTTTTTTTCTTACATATTCAAATATATAATATGTATAATTTTCTTCAGTAAACAGTATTTTAATAGTAAAGGCTTATCATCAGATCAGCAGTCTGTGATTCTGATTTGTCCTGATTTATAACATACATTTCTAAAATTCCTCGTTTCTAAATAACTGAGTCATTTAGAAACTTATGTACCAACTCCCACAGGAAAAGTTGACCTAAGAAGAATTTGACTTTTATTTATATGTCCTTTTTTTGTTATATAGATCATAACGGGTCTACGGAATTTAACATCCCTGGTTTTCAAATAATTAAGTTGGAGAGTTCCTGGTGAAGGTATAAACAGAAAAGCGTTTCGGAACTCACGTCTGTTGTACACATTTATAAGCCTGGTGTCTTTGACGATTTTGTTTTACGGTCAAAATTTATAAAGTTGTATTTCATTTTATATCTCAAATCTCCATTTTTTTAATTTCATTTTTATTTCATAGTGCTGCTAGACACGTGTATATGTATTTCTTTGCACATACTTTTTAAAGCAAACGCTTGTTAATAAAACATTGTGAAATGTTACAATCCAAGCAGTATATGCGATTATTGAGAGGTACAAGTAGAAGTGTACACTTTCAAAACACGTTCTATACTGTATCGTCCTAAACATTACAGTATTCAGTATATAGAATCAAACTTTAGAAAGAGATTTAAATGGTGACGATTGCATGATGCAACAACATTTCTCTGAGTTAACTAATTCTACGCAAGAAACTGGGATGCAAGATTTAAAATAAAATCATCAAAATAACAGTAATATAATTTGGTACGTCAGACGCTCGCCTCGTCTACAGACGTTTCAACAGTGAAGCTCGTTTTAAAAAAGTTAAAAGGCTAAATCAAAGGCAATACTTTGAATAGCATCGAGGAATCAAAATTCCCAAAGGTTTTGCTCAAATATAGGTAAGTTTATCTATTCTTAGGGTAGAACATTTTTGTATTCGAACAACTTTCACCTTGTTTATGGACCTCGTAGATCAAATTAAAAAAAAATCAAATACCGTTGCATTTTATCGATCTTGTCTAAACGTCGACTTTGACAAATATGCAATACGAAAGGTGGTACATATGGTACAATTGATACATAAATCTATATTTATCTATAGGTCATCACTTTGAGATTTCTTTTTGATCTTACATTTGTAACAATAATATTCAGCTCCATTTATTCCAATTATTAATGTAGGGTTGATAAATAACTAGTTAATCCCAGTTACATCTATATATATAAAAATTTTCTCTTCTCCTTCTCGCCGTGGTGTCCCACTCGGTGTTGACTTCTATTATTTGGAAGGTAACATTATCAAATGAATGTTTCGTTGAACGAAGATGTCTTGTGAGAGGACAGTTTTTGTTGGTTTTGTACCATGAACGATGGTTATTGGGCCGAATATTAAATTTGTCCATTGTTTCTCCCACATACTGAATGCCACATGTGTCACATATTAATATATAAATTGAGTTCTCCGTTTTACAGTTGGAATTTGAGTAGATGGTATAATTTTGTTTAGAAACGGAGCTGATGAAAGAACTGCTTGTATTTGCAGCTTTACAACACAAGCAGTTCCTTCGACCACATTGTGTGTAGCAACCGGGAAATGGAGTAGGCTGCTTTGCTAATACAGATGTCACTAATTTGTCACGGATGTTTTTAGGTCTTCCATACCTCTTCACACGCTGCTATTCCTTCGTCTTGTGGAATGTTGGTATATAAAGAAGACACGTCCATGGATGCAAGTATATGATTGCTTGGTAGAGGATTATAACGGACCTTCATACCAAACAAACGGACAAACATCAATTCCTTTCTCCTAAAAGTTGCCATCCTAAACACTGCTCCCGTGGCATCCCATTCAGCCAGGCATTGCGAATCAAGAGAATATGCTCTACTGAAAATACGCAAAATGCTAGACTTGGACAACTACGTAAACATCTAGTTGTTCGAGGATACAATAACAACATCATTGATAGCGCTTTCGAAAGAGCAAACAAAACTAGTCGCCAAGAACTTCTAGAGTACAAAGATAAGAATAAAGCAGCTAACAGAACACCCCTTGTACTCACTTACCATCCTGATTTTAAAAATGTGTCTTCCATTGTTTAGAAGCATTGGAAAATTATAGAAAATGATTCAAATCTTAAAAAAGTATTTTCCTCACCACCAGTCATGGCCTTCAGAAGACCTAACAACATCCGTGACAAATTAGTGACATCTGTATTAGCAAAGCAGCCTACTCCATCTCCCGGTTGCTACACACAATGTGGTCGAAGGAACTGCTTGTGTTGTAAAGCTGCAAATACAAGCAGTTCTTTCATCAGCTCCGTTACTAAACAAAATTATACCATCTACTCAAATTCCAACTGTAAAACGGAGAACTCAATTTATATATTAACATGTGACACATGTGGCATTCAGTATATGGGAGAAACAATGGACAAATTTAATATTCGGCTCAATAACCATCGTTCATGGTACAAAACCAACAAAAACTGTCCTATCACAAGACATCTTCGTTCAACGAAACATTCTTTTGATAATGTTACCTTCCAAATAATAGAAGTCAACACCGAGTGGGACACCACGGCGAGAAGGAGAAGAGAAAATGTTTGGATCCACCAACTCCACACTTTAGAACCTGATGGTATTAACGAAAAAGATGAGAAAAGATACAGGAAAGATAAAGAATAATTTAGTACACAGCATCGTCCTTTTTATCCTGTAATATTGGCCAATGGACGTTGCTAACTTCAACTACCAATTTTGTAAAAATCTTGAACTTCATCCAAATTATGTATTATTTTCAAGGTAGCTAAATTCAAGTGCAACATATACATTGAGCTGCAAAAGTTTCTTATCATCTACATCCGATTTCACCTGGATAGATGCACGGTTGATAAAGCTAGTTAGTCTAGCGAAATATTGCGTTTATTTTAATCATTTTGTAAATATTTTAAACATTTTTATATTTACATACTAAATAGTGTGTTAAAATTACATTGTTAGGCAATCTATAATTTTATTTGTGTAATTGAATTAATCTCTGTACTGATTAATCCACACTCCCATAGATTTGTATGTCATGTGCTGCTATTTATAGGCACTTATATATATATATATATATATATATATATATATATATATATATTATATATATATATATATGACTTCTGTTCCCTGCTAGTAACATAACCCAGCTAAAGAGAGAGACGAAGAATACCAAAAGGACATTCAAACTCACAAGTCGAAAATAAGCTGACAAAGCCAAGGCTAAAAAGAAAAAGACAAACAAATAACAGTACACAAAACACAACATATAAAACTTAAGACTGAGCAACACAAACCCCACCAAAAAACTTGGGGTGATCTCAGGTGCTCCGGAAGAATAAGCATATACTACACCACATGTGGCACCCATCGTGTTGCTCATGTTAGTACAAATCCGGCAATAAGTCTAATTCGGTAGGTCACATTCGGAGAAAAGGGGACGAGATTGTAGTAACGACAATTGGAACATGTTTGTTGTCATCTGTGAAACAGATATTCAATAACGGTCAACCAACTCGTGATGGCGTCCCTAAAATTTACCTCTTGGAACTCTTGGTTTAATAACTTCCCTGGAAGCAGCAACTCTCTGTCAGGGAAATCATAAGTCCCTTTATATTTTTTGTCTAATTGAAATTTGATATTGATAGTAGAATGGCAGTTTCCTGTCTTGAAGGTCTAATGTATGGTCTTGGTATCAGTTCATCGTATGTTATAGACCTCTAGGTGATGATTGTTTTCTTGTGAGCTTATCATATACTGCGGTTATGTGTTATTGGAGTTTATATATTCATCCCTACCAATTTTCTACCACAGTTCTTTTGCAGTTGTATAACAATTTACTAATTACTGGATTAGAAATTATCAGTTTACCATGACAATCATATTTTAGCAACACAAACATACTGAATCTGTGGCAAACTATCATTCATATTGAATGTGTACTTAAAGTTGTTTTCTTCAAAGTAGAACATTGACTGGCTGACTTTATAGTTGTTACTCTACTATCAAATGACAATAACACTTATAAGATTTGTGTGTTCGAAGTTCTTTTCTTGATTAACTTCTTCAAAACTGCTCAAACCAAATCAATGGAAATCCAGGGATGTATGCATACGTATAATTGCTATGAATAATGTGACTAAATGGAACACAACAAGAAAAGCCAAGTTCAGTAGTTTAAGTCCAAGGGAGTTTGAATCTTCAAAATGAGTAAATACAATAGTACCGAAGGACTTACTACTGAGCTGATTATAGCAGTGACATCGACCCTGTGCTAGTAAATGAAAATATCACTTCCTAAATTTCGTGCGTTCGCAGCACTTTTAAGCTCACCTGACATAAAAGGTGTGAGCTTTTTGTCGTCCGTTGTCAACGTTTTGAATTTGTTTTATGGAAATACTGAGTCAAACGTTACCAAACTTTACCTGAGTGTTCCTTGGAAAACTAGTTTGAAATTATATCCGGATATTTGATCAAACAACAAACATGGCTGCTGTTTTTTTCAATTAAGTACAAAAGGGTAAAAATCATATTTTGATTTATAGCTCAAAATTTAGAGAAGTTAGAGGAAAACTAGATACGTATGGCCAGCAGTTCAAGGTCTATCATCGGACTACTCATTTTTGAGTTATTGCCTCTGTAATGCAAATTGTAAGCAAAGGTCATGTGTTTTTGACTTATATTGAAAAAAATGAACAGCTAGAGCAACTTGGCATGGGTAAAGATGATCACCAGGCTGAGGTCTTTTCCGGTTGAATGTCCAGAAAATTAGACCCTTAAATACCTTCATCAAAATGAGA